AAAAAAAAAAAAAAAAAAAAAAAAAAAAAAAAAAAAAAAAAAAAAAAAAAAAAGAATCTTCTAAATAGCCCAGACAAATAATTGGACACACAAATTTTATTGGTATAATAATGCTACACCTTTTAAACGATATATTACATACTATTACGCACCTTTACTACAGGGACTTTGTAGGGCACATGTTCCACGTGTTTTACTGGTACCTACGTAATACATGACAAATAAATATTGAAATTGTATGATACTAATAATAAACTTCATAAATATTATCTTATAATGAAAAGATGATTTAAAAAAATACAATTTCAATACTAATGAAAAAATAGTGATGCAACAAATTTAATCACAATGATTAAGTTACTTGTATTATATTTTTATTTTTTATAAAATTGGTTTAATATTAAATAATTTGTTTTATAAATATACTCAAACTTACGGGTATATGTTTGATGACCGGGTAAGGCTGGGGTACAGGCACCTTTACTGTATAGTGGACCTAGTAACAAGCAGTTAGGTAAAATAATAAATAATCCTAGCAACTGATTGAATAATTCAGTTAGTAAACAATCAAATGTGCCTAATATTTTTTTAATAAAAAAATCTACCCCTTGAAATGTGTGTAACAGAAAAAAGTATTATCTTACAATAAAAATTTTACTTTCTGATTTCTGAATTTTTTCTGTTATGTTGAGCAAACGCTTGAAATAATAAAACAACTTTTTGGATTCTCAAAAAAATTGCTTCAAACTAGATTTTTCATTTAATTATTCACATGTTTAAGTAGAAAACTTTTTTTACCTGCTTCTCAACGGGGTAAGGGGCTGGTACATAGACCTTGTGAGGAACTAGTCGCTCGACTGGCACATGAACAGGATAAAAGACCTTTGAACATATACATTTTTTAATGCATGGATAGTAATTAACAGTCCTTTAATCTCTAGATCACAGAATCTTATCGATTAGCCGATTTAATTTTTAGTATTGCGTAAGTACAAGAAAATGATACTATATTTATTAAGTTGAAAGATGTGACAATAAGTTAATTTGTAATTCCATAGAAAGTTTTTTGAGAAGTTTGAAGTGAAGTTTCGGGTAAACAAATTTTTTAATCACGATAATTCAATTTTTACGTGATTTGATTAATTGTTTCAGTTAAACCGATTGTACAAAATTTATAAAGATTTTTTGAACTAAAAAATATTATTGTAACGGTTAATCAAATTTTTAAAAATCGAAATGTCTGAGAAATTTATATTTTCATAGCAAATGACAATCATTAAGGCCTGTGTTACGTAGAGAAGATATTTAAAACTTAATTTTTTGGGTTTTATAAAATAAAATTTTTGTAAAATTATTCAACGATTTTCTGGATATTTTGAAACACTGGTATAATATTCTACATGAATAAATTAAAAAAGGTAAATAATTGAAATTTTTCAACCATCAAAAAAAAATGAGATGCTTACCTTTTTCTCCACTGGATACGGGGCAGGAATATGATGTGGTACTTTGACTGGAACCTATAAACACATGTCACACATGGATGTTTTAATTGTATACAAATTACATGTGGCGTATTAGTTAAAATCTCCTAAGTATCTAGACTAAGAAATTCAAAGTAGATTCAAGTATTTGGATTCCTATTGAGATGATTACTACTTTACAATAAATCAACACTAATGCAGTAGCACCATAATTTTTACCAAGTTCTGCCCCATGGTTTAATTCAAAATCTACAAAAATCTTTCAAAATTTTAATTCTTAGTCTTATTACACTGAGAAAATTTTTATGTATACAAATTGTACTTAATTTTTTTTGCGCGGTTTTTTTAATTTTGAAAAAAATTTTGTATTTTAATTATGTACAGTTTAATGCTAATAACCAATACTAGATACTAACGAATTTAGTTTAATACTCAATGATAATGATATTAAATTTTTTGTTCGTACTGCGGTGTGAGTTAATGTTTTTAGACTCCAAAAGCGTATAATGTATCAAATGTTTTATCAGTGTACTCTAAAACAATAAATAAATTACTAATTATCAAACTGGTAGTATTGTTTCATATTCGATTTTATTTTACGTTTATTAGAGTAAAGGTACAATCTTTGTCTAACTGATGATAGTCTGCTGTCGTCACTGTCATTTCTTATTTTTTGGGTTCCAATGATCAATTAGTGATAAATAATATTTATTTATTTAGTTATTTT